AACAACAACAACAACAATCCAAACTACCAACAAGATCAAGAATTGGTTCTTCAAAAGGGTCGATAAAATTTGACAAACCACTGGTAAACTTAAAAAAGGCAAAGAAAGACAAAAATATATCAAATAAAAAGTGAAAGGGGTGACATCCCAACAGAATCAAATGAAACAAAAAGGATAAAAATGGAGTATTATGAAATGTTATATTCCAATCAATGTGAAAATATAGAGGAAATTAACACATTCTTACAACTTCACCCCCATCCCAAAGTGATGGTGATCATCACTTTGGGCTTGTTTTCAAGAGGAACCAGTCCTTAGAGAGAACCATCATACATAGTATTGGAAAATGCCAGGGGAAGAGGAAGAGTACAAGAGGACAGACTGGGAAAAAAACCAAAAAACAAAAAAAACAAAACAAAAAAGACTGTTACAATGGGCTCAAGCATGTCAAGACCTGTTGTTCGTAAGATCTCTCTGACTTGCAACATAAAAAAAAACCCACACATTTCATTTACCTAAAAAACTCAATTTCTTTACAGTCTTGAAGAACCAGCAAGGGAGTTCTGGTGGCCTACTGGGTAACAAACTGTGTTGCCAACCCAAGTCCTACTGGAATTCATCAGCCACTCAGAGGATGTGGAGAGTTAGGAACTCTCATACACTCTTGGTGGGACTGTGAAATGGTACAGCCACCCTGGAAGGCAGTCTGGCATTTCCTCAAAAAGCTGAACACAGAAATCTCATATAACCCAGCTATTCCACTGCTAGGATTATTCCCCAAGGAAATTAGAACTGAGACACAAATGGAGATTTGTATACCAATGTTTCTAGTAGTGTTATTGACAATTGCAAGAACATGGAAACAGGCCATATGTCCAAGCACAACCAAATGGATTGAGAAATTGTGGTCTATTCACATGATGGAATACTATACAGCACTCAGGAGCAATGATTTTGAAAATTACTACATAATGTGTGAAGACTGGAGAGCATTATGCTAAGTGAACTAACCCAGTCTCATAAGGACAAATATTGCTTAAGACCCTTATTGTAAAAATAGAAAGATAACAAGTCAAACATGTATGGGGACCCAAAGGAGGAAGGCAGGTGTGTGTGTGTGTGTATGTGTGTGTAATTACAGGGTTGCATAATTTGGTGGGTGCAGGGAAGAGTGGGTAAAGGAAATGGGAAAGATGTGCCAGGCATCTGGAACAACAGGGTAATAAAGCTAGGCATAGTTCAATGGTGGTTAATTTTATAAAACATAATGAATGGCATTGATTGTATGAAATACCATGTGAATGGCAGAAAGTGTGAAACACAATGTATACAAACTTTACAAGCAAACCAATATAAAATAA